CGATCCCAGGTGGATTACATTTTGAAATTGATCAACGAGGGACATTGTTTCAAACCATTTGAGTGGCCACACTTGAAAGCAGCAAATCAAGAGGTCAATATTCCAGACAATGATGGTGACAGCCTTGAAGATGTCACAGAGGTTTATCAAGCAAGTCACAAAAAGCCTCTAACTAGGTCTTCTAAGAAGGAGAAGGAAGTTGTCAAGCCTCCTACCATCCACAAACATACTTCTCAGAAGAAACCAACGGCTAAAGTTCCTGTTGGCGGAGAAAGTAACGACCCGGGGTACTTCACGCTTGCTCATTTGAATGACATGAAGGAGTGGATACTGAAACAGAATGAAGACCTCAGAAACAAGATTAGGGAGGATGTTAAAGAAATTGTTGGTCCCAAATCACCCGCAGGAGGAGCATCTAATCTGCGTCGATCAAGCAGGCTTAACACCAACCATAAGGGAAAGACTGATGCATCACCCTCTAAGAAAACGGGCAACAAAGAAACGCGAAAACGAAAAAGAAAACAGGTAGAGGTTCACTCCTTATCAACTGGAAGCGAGTCAGCCGGTGACATTGAAGGTGAAGCGGATGTTCAGAGTACATGGAAAGAGGACGGAAATGCGCCAAGCTCGGGTACATTTGATAAGTGTGATGATTATGGAGATGCTCTAAAAATCACTCAGGAAGGTGATTTGATGCAAGAAGAAAGCGACTTTGTAAGTGTTTTTTACATTCAAACATCACATTTCCATATTTTATCTGATCCCTCTTTGTTTTTCCTCCTTTTATTGCTTATGGTTATAACAATATCAAATTTCTTGTAGGATCACTGTTCTTCAAATTGTACAAAGACGAAAGAATCAATGATGAGAGAGATAGAGAATCTTGAACTGAAGCTTCAATTGTATGGAGGACATGGGCTGAATAATTTAACCTACGACGAGCTTCTTCATTTTGAGCATCAACTCGAATCTTCTCTCCATATTGCTCGAGCTCATAAGGTATATATATACACACTCTATACACACACATATAATTATTTAAGACATATATTAGATATACATGTACTTTGGTGAAAAATAGTTTTATAAACACACACACAGATCCCAAATTTCACAGTTTTAGTGGTTCATGTCTCTTGTTTATTAATATGTAGTTTTGAGTTCATGCAGCGGGAGCAGCAGCAACAACAAACAGACAAGCTTAAGGAAAATCTCATGTTGTGTCAAAGGCAAGAAGATGATGACATCATGCACCGGCAAGTGAAGAAGGAGAACCCACCGGTGTTCTTCAGCTCCTCTCGCCGCCACAACCAGCCCCAAGACTAGGACAACAACTTCTCTCTATCTAGCTAAATATCTAATTACAGCTTAAGTAGATCGACCCGGTTTGGTTCAGCCTACCAGACAATTTATTACCGGTTATTTTCTTTGCTGACTTTCTTTCTAATGGACATATTGAGTATTGACCATGCTTTGATAGCTTTCGGGTTTATATTAAAAGGAAAATTTCTCTAGCAGAATTAACCAAACCTGTGTTCTGTTGGGTTCTCCTAACTCTATAGAGCTCATTAATGTGTACAGATCCTTATATACAGTAATTGTAGGAGAGAAACTCCTCAAATCATATAAAATGTTAATAGTTAATTCTAACAATGAAAAAAGAAAAAGAATTCGATAACAATTGGAAATGGAAGCTATCTAACCTCTAGGAACTCACAATTTGATAAATCCGACAGTGGTAAAAACTCATAAACCATATAACAAAGGATTGGAGTTGACAATTTTGGAGCTCGTTAGTTTTGGTTTAACATGAATCTTTCTTCTTAACCGGGTGGCCATTTCATCTGTCGGCCTCCGAGGACGTGTAGATGAAGATGGTAAACAGATTGGCCTGAATGAGAGGAAGTTAATTCAGTTAAGTGTATAAGCTAACGATGATGTTTGATTGGATGGAAAAGAAAAGACTTACAAGCTTCAACACCGTTGTTGATAACCACACGGAACCCGTCGAGGATGCCTTCTTTCTCAGCAACAATCTTCGATGCATGTAGGAGTTGGCCAAGAACCTCTACGTGTCTTGGTTCAGCCTGCAATGACGTTGTAGAGGAAGATATGTTCAGGTAAGATCTTAATCTGTTCCACCAAAATAAAACCTTAACTCCTTTCACATAATTTGTTCACGAATTGTTCCTCCTTATTATCGGTTTATGAGATCACAGGAAGGTAAAAGCTAAGGCCGCATTTGCATACATTGACCAGAAACAGTGGCATAATACTAGACTCGATACTAGTTAGGGAACACAATGATATTGGCCACAATATGAGATTCTATGAGACCTCAAAGAGTAGACCAAAGGAAGTCACGAGAAGGCATGACAAGAGTGATAGCTATTTCTATTGTGTAACGCAAAATGAAACACGATTAAGCTACTCATGGGCATGAGATGCCAAACAAGTATAATTACGAAAATCATTATCCTATCTGTTTTCCGCCTTTGCTTTCCTATTTGCAACTCGAGAGAAACACGATTTAGGACTGCTAGAGACAGTTCAACTGCACCAGAAGCAGACTAAATGTTAAAACTAAAACTGACTCACATTGCCAAGCGTGGTTAAGCCATCTCTCAACTTAGGAATGACCAAAACATGAACAGGAGCCTGAGGGTTTATGTCTCTGAATGCCAAAACGTTTTCATCTTCATAGACAATATCTGATGGAATCTCTTTTGCTATAATCTTGTCAAATCTAAAACCACAAGATAAAATATGATCATTTTCGTCATAAATTCTCCAAGAATCACATCCAAATTCATAACGAACAATAACTAGGTCACATGTTTGAAAGATTTAGCTCATTTTTAGCAAATAATACACAAGCATGGATTGCTTTGAAGTTACAGCAATTTAATCCCAAAATCCATCTCCAGATCCTAAGGGCTACTAATTCTCAGATTTCAAAATTTAAGGAAGAAACCATACATGGTTGGAGCTCCGGTGTCAGCAACAGAAGCCGCAGCTTTCGCGGCGGCTTCTTCATTATGCGCAGCACGAGTAGAACAGATGGATCTACCAAACAATTAAACCAAATCAGCTCAATTGCAATAATCTCCAAACAGTTAACACACAAAAGAATTGAGAAATTTACACCTTGAGGAACGAGTATAAGGAAGAACCCTAATCAATTCTCCAGTGGAGAAGAAGATCCTCGAAGTCACACGAACAGACTGAGCAACTCTTCCCACCGTAGAGAAATTCCTGAAAAAAACGAAAAACCTCGACGCCATTAGCAAATTCAACAACCAATTCCTTATTTCTGTATCGAGAGTGGTAGTGAGAGTATCACCGAAGTAGCATAGAGGAGGAAGTGACAGCCATTGAAGCTCTGCTTCGATCAACCGTTTCGATCGATTTTTGCTTCTACATTTCAAATAAACGACGTCGTTTTGGAGAGTATCAACCTACGACGTCGTTTGGGTATTAACTTCTTTGTTTTCTTTAAATTAAAATAAGAACTTTGTTATAGATTTGGTGATTCTTTTGAGTTTAGTGATTAATTTGCGCACTAAGTAGCAGAAAAGGGGGGTCAAAATGATTCGATCGTATTGGATATTTGGATCTTATGAAACATATTGAGATCATCCAATTAAAAGTTGCAAACAATAAGTTATCAACTGGTATTATGTGTTTTTGCATTGATGAGCCAAGAGTTAAGGAAATAATTTCGTACGAGGAAGTGAACAGTACTATCACGTTTCAGCGAGAAAAACAGTGTCGGTGATATTTCAGTTGCTTGGGACATCATCAGTCATCACATCTCTAACACTTGCACTGTCATTTCGGAGCTCGGTAAATGAAGGGGTACACTACACAGTCTACACCCCCATAAAAGGTTTTGTAAACGAAGGTGATGAGATGTTAGAGATGAGATCTTGGTGGTAGTGGTGGTGCAAATGAACCTGATCGATGATTTGATGATTCAAGAAGACAACAAAAGACGACTAAACAGATGTCCAAATGTAGGGGTCAATATAGGACTAGAATGGGAAATGAAAAAGGAAAACTAAAACGTCTAAAACCAAGAAGTATGTATCCCATCATTCAGTTATCAATGCACATATATATATATATATGTTAATTAATGTATCCGAAGACATCACACACATAAACCTAGACACAAATCTACTTAAACAGTAAAAAGACAAAATAATTTTTAGTCCATTAGTCGTTTATTATTAGGTCCACATTTTCACTGGATCTTATCAACAACGCCTAAGCGAAAGCATTGCAGATGGATTTTGAGAACGATGCTCATTATTCAAAGCTTTGAGTCCTGGAAGGCAGCTTCGAATTCAACTCCAAATGTCACCTTTGAGAGACAAGTATCCTTCACGCTCATTGATGACTCTTCTAACTATAGCTTTGCGTTCAATATGTTCACTAGTCCTACCAATGGCCAAGCCCTTAAAAGTTATGTAGACAATTGCACGTTTGGCGTTAAGTCTCTCATTCGGCGGCTCCACTTCTTCAATAGTTTCTATCGCCACATTCACAATCTTCAGCTTGGACAGATCGCCCTGCACCAACAGCAAAACTTGTTAATTCTAATTATCAACAGTGCCACTCAAGGTATGTCACTGATATGCAAAAGAGAAAAAACTTACATCTGAAATCTGCCTATGGCGTGAACAAATGACAAGTTCCAAATACAGATAAATCCAATCAGTGTTTTGCAACTCTGATTCATTCACCTGCAAAAGCAGTTACCAAAAAAAAACCCCTACTTAACTGATCATGAGCAAAGCAATACTAATGCCAACACAAGTGAAGTGGAACTAATTAATCTATTTACCACATAAACTCGTTTTCTGTCATTGAAAGCATCCTCTGGTGGCCACTCAGGCAAGCTACCTTTGTAGAAAGGTAGCACAACTGTGTAATCCCGAGGAGGGATGAAGGGCTCCTTGGTGATCACTAGGCAACATTAAATAGCCAACAAATGAGATTTCCTGAACTTGTGATGTAAAAATGAAACATTCACCACAAGTAAACTTTTACCTAGGGGTTTAGGTCTAGCAATAGGGCATATGAAATCCAAACTGTTAAAACAATCGTCATCAACTTTAACCTGAAAGGTTTCCTGCAAACGGCTGGTTGGATCGAATGCAAGCAAAGTTATGTAGTATGAGGAAAGAAAACGCATTTGCTTGTTAAATCTCTTTAGGTGATCGAGCTTCAAGTTTGTCTCCTGGCAGAACAAGAAAGAAAGAATCTGACATGTACATAATGCCGATAATTGAAGCAACAAGAGAGGAGACTAGTTTTTACATTCAACATATTGTAAAGATGAAGCCCCGCCCTCGCATAAAGCTTGACCAAGGCAAGATAAGTGTGCTTACGACACTCGTCGCCTTCACAGTGGTGGGCTACCAGTGCAGAGCTATTGATAATACCATCAAAATCGAAACACTAACAGAAAAAGTAATCAATTAGTAATATGTAAACAAAACATTTCTAATTTAACAAAAGGAATCTACTAGTCATCTCCAACAAATCAAAACTACGGATAAATTCCAAAACATGGATCAACCTCTAAACAGTCAGAAGATGAAAGAAAAGAATTACATCTGATGCCTCCACTCGAGGCTTATCGTAGTCCTCCATATCACCACCCATTGGAAACGTCATATTCTCCTCCTCGTCAAGGTTGTTTGAAATTTCGGTAAAATCGATCAGCTCGGGATGCATTCCGATCGATTTAGCTTTATCTAGGCGATACGTGTTATTTAGACCATGTCCAATGGAGGCTTTTAAAGGGTTTTCAAAAAGAGTTCTTAAAGTAAGAAAGATTAAGGTGTTGTCGGTTTGTGATTTAAATATTGTTTTAATGATTTTAAATGTTATGTAGAATCTGTTGTTATTAAATCAAAGTTTTATTAAATTTTGTTAGAGGGTGGTGTTATTAGTTTTTGATTTGTAAAATTTTTTTGTAAAATATTAACAAATCTGGAGTTATTAAATTCAGAATCTTATAAAGTCAATAAGGAGGTGTTATTGGTTTGTGATTTAAATAGAATTTGTTGTTTTTCAATCAAGATTTTTTAAAAGTTTGTTAAATTTTGGTGTTATTAATTTAAGATTTATAAAAAGTAATCTAAAATCTTCATATATTTGGAGTTATTGGATTCATACTTTTTTAAAGTCATTAAAAATTTTGTGTTATTCAAAAAACAAAAGAATCTATGATTGTTAATAAATTAAATTATTAGATTATTGGTTTATGACTTTCTACACTTTTCTTCACAAAATAAAATCACGAAAAGTATCATCAAAATAGAGAGATTGTTGGGGAAACTTTACAAGATTATGAAAAAACTAATCAACAAGATTATAGAAAACTCTCTAACAATAGTTTAGAATCTTTCATTTACTTTTTTTTTTTTTTTGTCAACAGCTTAAATTAGAGCTCAAAAGAGTCATTCTTGGGGAATGTTGTTTACATATGTGATATGAAGCGGTTCGGTACGAACTTGTCGAGCCAATTTATCCGCTTTTACATTTGCGCTACGAGGAATTAAAAATAAAGAAAAGCTTGAAAATTCTTCCTTGTCACTATGAAAGTCCTCCAGATAAACTGAAAAAGCCGGCCACTCGGTTGGAGAAGACACTATCTTCACCTAATCTGAACAGTCTGTAAAGAAAGCTACATCTTCGTTGTCAGCACCAATCATACACTTCATCGCCCAAAGAAGAGCTTCGACTTATGTATGTAGAGGGGATAGACTTCTACGGATGTTGGCAGCTCCCATGCTTGGCACCAATACCATCTTTCATTTATTTACTTTCTATGATTTTATCAAAATCAGCAAAATTCTTTGTGTTTTTCAACTTAATTAAAAGAATCTATGATTGTTAATGAATTAAATGATTGTATTATTGGTTTATGATTTTTTCCTTGTAAGTTATTATTGGTTTTTGATTTTATACATTATTCTTCACAAAATAAAATCATAAAAAATATTTTTAAAAAATAGAGATTGTTTGGGAAACTTTACCCGATTATGAAAAAGCTAATCAACAAGATTATAGAAAATTTTCTATTAATCGTTGAGAATCTTTCATTTATTTACTTTTTCTGTGCTCTTTCTTTGTATCTGAAAAGATTCATTTGTGTGGGTGGGCTTCACTTGGACTTTCCCAATCCAAATCTCATATCCTCCACCCCAGTCGACCAATAAAAATCTGCCACACGAAATTTTTATCTCTATTTAGAATATACGAATTTCTATGTGAATCTATCTATATATACATTTTTGGTACAAATCCATATTCAATTTCGTATTTATATTTTTAGTCCCTACAAAATCTATCTAACAAAAATATTATCCTAACCTAATTTTTACAAAAATACCTTAACTACTTTCTATTAATTACTAATTTCCTAAAATCTCTCTATTTAATTTAAACATAAATATATGATTATTTTTTTCACTTTTGTTTGATCTTATATTTAAATTATTTTGAAATTTTTTAAAATATATATATTTAATAAAATATTAAAAAAAATTATGCATATGATATGGTTCAAATGTTTAGAAACAGACATATATAACTCAATCGATGAACCAAAAAATATGTATACAATATCCCACTTTGCTTAAAAAATTAGGGCTTGATTGGTTCTCCCACTAGCACCCTCCTAGCGGTTGCTAGCAGTCGGTTGCGGTTGTTAGCGGTTGGTACCAATCATAGAAACCGCTCCGTACCGCTTCAAACCGCTCGAAATCGCTGAATTTTAAAAGCTCCTTCCCGCAAGCGTTTGCGGTTGCGGGCGGTAGCGGTTGGATTTAAAGAAAAATAAAATTAAAAAAAAATCAAATGTTTACTTTTAATTATTATAAAATATATTAATCTTATATATATCTTTCATCTTTGTATCACGTTCTCATCGGAAACCCTAATCAATATTCTAAAACCTTATTTTCTCAATGTCTTCCACCCAAACTGATGAAAATCAAGAACCAAACGTAAGTATCATATATCCTTTTATTCATTCATCACCTCGTGTGTAACTATTTGAATATTTTTCATGGCATCATTTTTTTCTTTTCATTAGGTATTGTTTTGCTTTTTGATTGAATATATGTTTCGATTTATTTTCTCGAATAAAAAATCACTTGTTTTTTGATTGAATTCAACGTTATTTACAGTTTATCCCATTACTTGATGCAATTTTTGGTATTAAACCCAGCATAGAGTACTATCTTATTACAATTTTTTTTTTATTTTTGAATAATTATTTAGTACTTTATTTATGGTTTTAATAATTAAGCATGTTCAATTTTTCTAATATTATCATAATATTATATTGGTGTTTTTTTTTTCTTTTTTTGTAATATTTTTTATTTAGTGGTCATTTTTTTATTTAATTGCTACTGCACCCGCTGGTTTACCAGTCATAAAACTCTCGCAAACGCATCCATTTTCAAACGCTAAACCAGTCGTTCAAAACGTTTGGTAACGCTTGAAACCAAAACCGCCCGCTTCCGCAAACTACCGCAACCGTAACCGCTGCGTTTAAACCAGTCAGGCCCTTAGGCAATAGTTCAGAGTCATACTATTAAAAGGACCAAAATGATTGTAAATATCAATGAGCAGGAAGCTTGATTTATCAAACGTCCATACTTGAAAGTGTTATCCAGTTTACTCGTGTTCTTTATTTTAAAGAATTGAAACTTTTAAAAAGTTTCTAAATATTATAAATATTTTAAAATTTATTAAAAGTTAAATATTATAATTATTTAAACTTCTTAAAAAGTGAAACTTATTTACGAATCTATGCCACTAGCATTTAATTTTGATGTCGACAATTACAATTAAAGAATAGAATTATAGATTTGCCGTTTAACAATCTTTCCAAAATCACTCCATATTATTATATGGGAAAATTGGAAATAAAGGATATCTACTTAAAAATTTGTCCATATATCTCTTTTTCTTGTAGATTGGTCAAATAGGTTTTTTTAAAAATCAAAACCCAATTTTACCCTCATTTAACTCCCCCATTAGTTAAATCCACCGAGATATTATTCTCCAAAACAATCAATTCAGTTTCAAAGATTTTTCACTTACCAATAATTCCCAAAATCTATCAATATTAACTCTACATTTGTTTCTCAAATATCGCCTCTGAGATTTCACATCTCATTTAATTACTACCAAATTAACATTTGCGATTATCCTAACATTAACTATTAAATGCTAACTACAATAATCATATAATATCAAAATCAAATCTTTCAATTCTTCATATGGTAAAAGGAAAATCGAGTTTAAATAGCAAATGGAAATTTGAGATGATATAGAAATCTTAGATAATTACGGGCATATTCCATAAATATATTCTTATTCCCACTCATTATTCGGAAATAGTGACTATTTTGAAAATATAATCAGTATGAATCATATTGTTCTGTTCTCGCTTAAGGTTTTTGCCTTTGGATCGAGATTCTATCTCTCGTCTTTATAGAACACTTATGAGTCATGTTCCATATATCTTGGATTCGACCTCCATGTACATGTAAGTTTGTTTATATCTTCACGTCTGTCGCAATAAAAAGAAGTGGGATGCGGTTGCATTCATTAAGCATCCCTCTCTCGGAAAAGGTTGTGGATGCTTGCATTGATGTAGGATGGAAGCTTTCACCTCCAAGATCAGACACTTCTCTATGTCTACTCCACACCCATCTCACAACTATTCCACTCCCAAGTCTGGTGACCGAGGATGATGACTATTGATGGGTTTGATTGCATGTTTGAAAAAATGGTCTTAAGACTATTCCACTCCTAAGATCAGACACTTCTCTATATTTAACACATTTGGTGTTCTAGTTTGAAATTATTTTCTATTGAACGAGTTGAGTTTTATCTGTGTTCATGATCATTTAACACATTCTAACATGAATTTTAATAACCATACAGTAAAATCTGAAAATAATAGTATAACTTAAGAAGCTACCGGTACCAAAACTTATTGTCACTACCGGTACCACAACTAGAGCTCTGATTTCTTTCAATTAGTTAATCCGTTTCTCTCTTATTTTTTCTTTTGGAAATATATATTGTAATCTTGCTTTTATTCTTTTTTTCGCTAAGGTAGGAAATGAATACTCTCTGTAATACCTCACTATTCAATTACTAATAAAATTTAAAAACTTAGAAAACAAACAAAAAACATACCATAGGAAATGATTACAAACCATCAACAACAACAACAACAACAACAACAACAAAAAATGGTCTTAAGACTAAAGAGTACACTTAGAAATATGACAAATAACAAAAATCAAATTAGATATAGAAAAGGATTGGGTTCATAATCCTTGCCTTGGAGAGTTGCTGCTGCTACTAGCAGATTCATTCTAGTCGCAGGCATAACCCGCCCTCACTATAAATGGGCGTAAGCAAAAAAAATATTCTTGTCCACTAATCTCTATAATATTAAAAGAGAAGTACAAATGAAAATGGGTCAGGTTAAAATCAGAAAATTGACCCGAAATTCTGAAATCGGATCTTTGAATTTTTTTTTGGAATATAAATTCGAATTAATAATGAAAAATGAAATATTTATGGAAATCAAATAAAATCTGATTGTACTTATGGCAACTAATTATAAAAGCATATTCCGAACAATATTATACATTAATTACGTATAATAAATTTGTTCATATATTTTTGGAACTAATTCGATAACAATCAACGTTATTATCATTAATTTCGCTCATTTTAGCCAATTATCATTAATTGAAAGATATCTTACT